CGGGTCCTATGAGGAGTTTCAGATGTTGAGGGTTAGGTTGTGTCCTAAGGTTATGGACTAAGGATAAAGTGAGATCTTTAGCTAAGTTGCATTATCAGGTCTATATAGGTTGGGGTGATGGGGAATCACCCTCGGGTGTATGTATGGTGCTCATGCAGTGATTTGATAGCTTTGGAACGACTCCTGACACGTTCGAGGATGAACGTATGTTTAAGTGGGGGAGCACGTAACGACCCGACTGGTTGTTCTGAGCAATTTCGTCAGGTTTGGCAGTTTGAGGTCACGAGTAGCTTCACATAGTGTATTATGACTTGCGTGCATCATTGGTTCGAGTTTCTAAAGGTTCGGAAAGGATTTTTAATGAGTTACTCTCATTTGAGAACTCGAAGTTGAAAGAATCAACCAAGGTTTGACTTTTGAGTATTTGACCACGTATTGGAGTTTTGATGATTTCGATAGGCTTGGATGGTGATTTTAGATTTAGGCTTGCGTCCGAATTTGGATTTGTAGGTCCGTAGGGTAATTTGAAGCATTTTTGGCAAAAAATTGGAAAGTTGAAGTTTTGGAAGGTTGAGAGGTTTGACCAAGAGTTGACTTTAGTGATATCGGGGTCAGAATGCGATTCTGAGAGTTGGAACAACTCTGTTATGTCATTTGGGGCTTGTCTACAAAATCTGACGTCATTCTGGATGGAATAGATAGGTTTCGGCGCGAGTTTTAGAAGTTGAAAGATTTGAAAGTTCATGAGTTCGATTCATGGTATGATTCATAGCTTTGACATTGTTTGATATGATTTGAGGCCTCGAATAGGTCCGCATTATGTTTTCGAACTTGTTGGCATATTTTGACGGGGTTTCGGGGGCCCCAGGTGTGTTTTCGATGGGCTATGGTTATTTCTCTATGTTTTGGACTGTTGGTTTGCTGGTGTGCCTATTGTTTTTCAAGATCACAAAGATGATGATGCGATCACGAAAGGTTTCTATGGAGCTCAGGAATGTTGTTCTTCGCAGACGTAATCTTGGGCACGCGTTCGCGAAGCTTTAGCTGTTCACAGTCCACATTCGCACCTGTATGTTCGCGTTCGCATAGTGGAGCTGGGAACTGGTGGACTTTTACTCATCACATTCACGATTATCTGCACACGTTCGCGAAGCCTTTGGTAATTGTTCATCACGTTCGTGAGGTTTGTGCCGCGAACGCAAAGCTTTATTCTCGCTCGAAAATAATTTGTTCTTCGCGATCGCGAGGATTGATCCGCAATCGCGTAAGAAGAATCACCGGGCAGAATATAAAAGTACTCTATTCCGAGGGTTACCTATTTTCAACATTTTGGAGTTTTAGAGCTCGGTTTTGAGCGATTCTTCGTGGGTTTTTCAAGAAAATCAATTGAATAAGTGTTCTTCACCTAGAATTTATTATATTCCATGATACTATCTTTATTTTTATCATTAAATTAGTGTTTTGAGTTGAGGAAAAATGGAGATTTTGAAGTAAAATTTTAAAATGTAATATGATGATTTGAGGTACGAATGGTATCTGAAATTGATAATTTTGGTATGGTTGAACTCGTATCGTAATAGGTGTTCGGGTTTTGTAAATTTTATTGGATTTCGAGGTACGGCCCGAGGGTTGACTTTTGTTAACTTTTTGCAAATTGTATAAGGATCATAGCTTTATTAATTGAAATTATTTTCTCTTGCATTGTTTGATGTATTAAAGTCGTCTTTGGCTAGATTGAGCCGAGCGGTGGTGAATTGGTAAAGGAAAAACTAAATTGAGTATTGAGTTGGCCGAATTGAAGTAAGTGTCTTGCCTAACATTGTGTGGGTAAAACTACCTCTTAGGAATTGAGTAGATTGTTCTATCTTGTTATGTGAAAGTCGTGTACATAAGGTGACGAGTGGGTACACGGTCTTTATGTGATATTTGACCTGTTTAGATTGTCTAGTGTCTTTTCATACCTTTAATTGAATTGTCATAACATGTGATATCTTGTTGTTAGTCTACTCTTACATGCTCTATTTGACGTTGTTAGAATCGACTATACTCCTTACTCGTTATTTGGCCCTTATATGCCTTAATTGAAGTTATTGCCTTCCTTATTGTCTTGTTACCTCTTAATTGTTGAGTTTCTTATATGACCTTGTGCTTATCTGCTGCATGTCCTAATTGTTGTGATTGCATACTTAGATATTACGTACTTTACCTGTCTGGTCATTTTTGTAAAGGTTGTTGTATTCCTTCGGTTTTTACGTGGTTCGTTTGTTGCCATGTGATACCCTTGATTGTAAAAATTCTTGTAAATGGAGTTATTGAATTGTTGCTGTTCATTTACATTATTGTATGGGGGATTGGGTTGCCCGCCGCAACTGGTGGAATAAGGAAGGTGATGGAATAAGGGAGGATATTTATATTGTGATATTATTATTGTACAAGTGGGATCGGGTTACACACCACAACAGGTGAAATAAGGGTGGACTGTTATGGTGGAATAAGGGTGAATTATGATATTGATATTATATGGTGGGATCGGGTTGCACGTCGCAACATAATTTGTGTTTATATTCCCTGTTTTATTATACTGGCTTTAGTTCTTTCGTACGAGACTCTGAGAATTTGTATTTTCAATTTTCACTGTTTTCTGAGGATTAAGTTATTGTCTTTTACTTAGTGCCTTGCCATCATTTCCTGAGCTCTTTTCCTAATACTATTATTCTGGTGAATTGATTTTCAAAGTGAATTTACTACGTTGAGTCATTACCTCCTGTCCTGTTGAGTTGTTAGTAATATAATAATTCTAAATAAAAGAATTAATTTCATACTACATTGTGTGACTTTAAGTTAATACTCGTCGTACATTTCGGTATTTACCATTTCTAATAGTTATCATATTTTATTTCAATTGATTTCTAAGCTTAATCTCCTTAACATGTTTGAGGTTTTTATTCTACTTAAAAAAGAATTGTTATTATATTTTAATTTAATAAATTCTATGTTAAATTCAATAGTTTATTTGATGTTGTATTTTATTTGAAATATTATTTCTCTTCATCCAAATGATTTCTAAAACAAACTCATCTTTCTCATTGATTTCCTACTTGGTGTAGAAACTGTAGTTTTACTTTATGATATATAAATAAAATCCCTTGAACATCCTAATTAGCATTTGACACGGATATTATGTACCGAGTAGCACGTGAATTTTGCCGTGCTAAGTGAAATAAAAAGATGTGGGCACAAGGTGCCATGTGCGTTAAAGGTTTGGAAGTTGTGATTTACGATATGAGATTACAAGAAGTGAGATGGTTGAAATTGTGTGCTAGAAACGACTTGATTGGTTGAGTTGAAATCGCTTTCCTACTTGAGCACATTTATACTTAATCCATACCCCAACTATGTTGTTTCTTAATTACTTGGTTATTTCTCGTTGTCATTTATGTTTCCCTTATCGTTACTACCGTATGTAATCTGATTTTTGTCTGTTGGCATTACTTTGATATTCCTTCCTTGTTAGCTTTGTGTCATATCCCGCACAGGTTTACATGTTCAGTGGGTGTCTTGACCTGGCCTCGTCACCCTCTAATGTACTTATTTTCATTGTTTCCTTCTATTTCGGAACAATAATGTATTTTTTATGTATAATTACTCCTAGTTTATGATTTATACTACCGATTTTGGGATATTGTATTATGTCGAGACTATTGGTTTATTTATAATTTCTGGTTCATGATTAATAGTTGTTTAGTAAGACCTGTTATCATTTCGACATGCATTAGGCTTACCTAATTTTAAATATTATGTGCCATTACGACTCATTCGGAAGAATTTTGGATCGTGACATTTCCCATTAATTTTAGGAGTCATCAAGATTCAGGAGTTGTCTTCCAGCTTTAAAGAGGGAGCCCTATATGTGCCAACCTTTTGTGAAGAATATCTGACCACGTACTAGCTACGTAGTACTTAGCATTTTACGATCATTTGTTTCCACTTTATGAGAGCATCATGTTCTCAGCCCTACATTTTAATTTCTTACTGTTCATTGTATGATAGTATAAATTAATTTTTGGGTCTACTAATTATGATTGTTTCTTTTCGTTTAATTGAAAGCAGCACAAATTCTAATGAAACTAGATTTGTAGGACTTCTTTGCCTCAAAAGTCTGCTCGATCGCGTCAGACATTTAAATCTTAGTAAATGCTTGATGAAATTCGGTTACCTTAATTATAACTAAACATACTATTACTCTATTACTATAACGAAAATGAGATATGATAAATGGATTTAACTTAATTATATAGTGACCTTACATTGAGTTGGTTGACCTGGTTGTTGTATTAGGAAAAATCAAGTTAACGCATGGAATTAATTATGTGCTGACATGTCAAGACACGTGAATCAATGAAAGAGTGACAGTTGGCATGGAATATTCGAAGAGACACGCGCCTTAATAGGTACGAGCAAAGATTCAAGAAAACAGGAAAGAACGGTTACTCGGACCTCACTACAAGAAAATGGGGCTTTAGCGAGGGGAAATCTGGTCGTTAAAAGTCCAATTCCGGTCGTTATAAGTTATTAACGACCGGAAAAAATCCGGTCATCACCGGTCGTTAAAGGTCCCGACGTTAAAAGTTAACGACCGGTTTACAATCTGGTCGTTAAAGGATCTTTAGTGACGTCATAACTGTTGGTCGTTAAATATGCATATTAGCGACAGGATTTTCCCTTCACTAATTTGTTATCTGGTCATTAAAAGTCTTTAACGACAACAATGTATTAAGTCAATTCAAGTATTTTTAGCGACCGATATTCCCTTCGTTAATTCTATAATTACTTTTAACAACAAAAATTCTCTTCGTTAATAGTCATTTATCTATTTGAGAAACATGTCGTTAAAGAGTTTTAATGACCACATTTTTCTTTGCTAATATGAAAATGTAATAAATATAATAAAGATTTAAATTACGTGAATAGTAATAATTATTTATATGCTTTCATACACGCTCAACAACACTGGAAAATAAACCAAATACTTGATATCTTGTTAATACAAAGAACTAAAGTATCATATTTGAAAGCAGTACAAATAAAATCACATAAAGGATGTACTAGTAGTTTACAATAGGTCAAAGGGGAACAAATTAAGATAGATCATCTTCCTCGAGCCCCTTAGCCTTCAATGTTTCCTTCACTCTTCGAAGAAGTGTTGTCCTCCAAGCATCCTGTGGAGTGAAGATATTTAAGTAGATTGTACAAAATTTGTGTAAAATTACAACATAGTAATATGTGCTCAAGTCAATTAAGCATCTAAGTATAAATCCACGAAGCAGTGATAACAAAAAGAATTAAAGAAGATACATCAATATGCTAACTAGCAAACTGTACAATTTCTCTTTCCCAGCTAGCCTGCTTCCCTATGATCTAGCTTTCCTTTTTGTTAAGGGGACAATTTATTTTCAATCCAGCAAAGGAATCCACAGCTGTGTAGCTCACACTAAAGCTAAAAGCTATACCTAAAGTCAGAGAAAACTTCCAAACAAGAGTTGAAAATTAGATCATCAAAAAAGTTTTCCAAGAAAAAGCACTCAACTCCAATTGCCTGTGATTTTGTAATTATAATATCTTTATGTGATCAATTTTCAAAAGGCTCAATAAATGTCTTGCCAAACTGTACTTGAATGCCTATAAAAAGGCCAACCCCTCCTCATTTCAGTCATATAATTCTAAACCAAGAAACCATCTGCCATATATATTCTTCTCAAGAAAACATGAAGATTTTCACATTTGTTTCATTGCCATTCTCCTCATACAGGTAGTTTTCAGATTGGTATAATTAACATATACACTTTTGTTTAGTTGTGATGCTACGAATAGAGTTTTAAGCAGCTCTACTTCATATTGTCTTAACAACTTTACTGGTTGCACATGAATCTTCGGCGTCTTCTTTCACATTTCACAACTTAAAAAACCAAAAAGGGGAAAAATGAGAGTTCGAATAAATGAATTCCAGAAAATCATTTTAAGAGGTCATTGCCAATAGCATTTGCATCAATAATACACCGAAGTAGAATCCAAGAGACAAATTGTGTCGAGAAATGGCATAATTAAAATGCAATAGGATTTATAAAACGCAATTGAAAGACCTTGGTTGTAAGAATATTTAACAAAATGATTCACTGTTTCAATAAACTGATATAAGGAAATCAACAACACAAACAACTACCATAATTTGCTACTTATCTAGTTATTATCACTTGTAATTGGAAAGAGAACTTGTAGAGTTTAATACCCAGTTCCGGTTTCTTTAAAAAAAGATGCAACATCAATAAAATAGTATATATATTACTTATAAGCTAGCAGATTGCTTTCAGGAATCGACCAAAACTTAAACGTTATTGTGGCACAATCTGCTGCACAATCTACTAAACCTAATGAACTATTGGAATACTGTGCAGATGAGTGATGATCAACAGAAAATTCCTGTCAAATCCAAACTTCCTAGAGACATCCCTACTGCTACAGCCTTGGCGACGATCTACAAGGATGTGGGATCAGCTTTACAAAATCACACAAACTTCCTAGAGACATCCCTACTGCTACAGCCTTGGCGACGATCTACAAGGATGTGGGATCAGCTTTACAAAATCACACAAACTTCCTAGAGACATCCCTACTGCTACAGCCTTGGCGACGATCTACAAGGATGTGGGATCAGCTTTACAAAATCACACAAACTTCCTAGAGACATCCCTACTGCTACAGCCTTGGCGACGATCTACAAGGATGTGGGATCAGCTTTACAAAATCACACAAACTTCCTAGAGACATCCCTCTTTCTTACACAATATTCTTGCCTTAAATATAGATCTTTGGAGTTGCAATAAATAGTAGTATTGTACAACAGATTAGGTGAAAAAAATTAAGAAAGCCTATACAACAACAACAACAACAAGCTCAGTGTAATCCAACAAGTGAGGTCTGGGGATGGTAATGTGTACGCAGACCTTACCCTAACCTTGTGAAGGTAGAAAGGCTGTTTCCGATAGATCCTTAGCTCAAGATTTCTAAACATTTGAATTCTAACAAATAAATCTACTTATTTTCTAAAGCATGTCTGTGTTCCTAAAAAAGGAACAACAAGCAGAAGCACTAGAAGAGCTAAACATCATTGTTTCAGAAGTTAGTCATTGTAACTAAAAGATACAACCACTCTAATCAAAATTATACAAAGTAGAGTAATAGTTTGTTTATGCAAGTTTAGCAAACAACACGAATAAAAGAGGATGGTTGCAATAGGTTGACGACCAGCATAAAATTATTCAATTTATGATGAATTTTCACGATACAAAATGCCCCAACTTGCTTGAGATCGAGGCATAGTTGTTTGTGTATGAAAGTTCAGCTGGCTCTCACTTAAACCATTAGAATGAATGACTATTCAGGTGAAAGGAGGATATAAATAATGGCAGGCAGAAAGACTTGCATATGAAACTGCTCATAGATATAGCAAATTCCGTGGTCTTTCTACAAGTACGGGGGTTTTAGAAGGCACAAGAATGAGAAAAAGAAAGTAATGCTATTCATACCAATTCTTGGCAAAGTCTGTTGCTGTAATGTAGAAAAGCAGTTTTCTCCTCCGTCAATCTGTAAATAACTGATTTTGCCTGAAAACATACATCCAAATTAATCATGTTGATGCGGAACTGTAAGGTAAGGAAGCTGGCCAAGATCTCCTTTCAAACATGCTTAAAACAAACAAATTAACTGCAACAAGCATGAAACGTTTGAAGGATCTAAGAGTAGCTGCAAATGCGTACGCAGAAAAAGCCATTAGCAAACAATTTAGGGGATAAGAACAGATCAAACTTCTCTTTAGATTGCTACTAAATACTGATGTAATATAACTAGCGAGCATCTTATGTGAATTAGGATGACAAGACAATTATGCTCGGACTAAGAGAATGAGGAGAGGAATGGAGAACTAATCACGAAAAGAATGATGTTCCCTTAATTTGATCAACTAGATATCAAGATAAAGTCTGCAGCAAAACTCACCACTAGAAGAAAGAAACTTGATATATTTCATAATAAATTAAAGATTCTAATATAGGGTGAAATTCCAAGGTAACAAACTTTTTACCTAGTTAAAGGGTAATCTCTGATAAAAAAACCAAATATTTCTAGAGTATGTCTATGCCAAATGATTAATAATCACTCAGAGAAAGATCGTCAAGACAAACTTGAATAACAAATACCAAACCAGCAGTTTGTAGCTCAATGTCATCCAAATTGAGATTAGAAGTTTAGCTCCAACAGTATTTTCAGGAGAACTTTTCTGGGATGCTACTGGTTCCGATAATAAAGATTGTAAGTTTGTTGGTAACATATCATAGATACTACAATGAACTCAAGTTATTTTCAGTAAATGTCACTACATCCTAATGTATTTACACCACTTCTCTAGATAACATATGTTATGATATCATTAGGTCATTCAAAAACATCTCAAAGACACAAGAAACCGTGGTAGATTATGTCATCTTTAGACACCTCCAACAACATGAATGCGTCTGCTAAGGGAATGATGATTCACAAATAGTCAAATAGTACAAATAAGTGACAATGAATATGTCTCATAAGCACTAGATATCAGCAAATAATAACATGCATAAATGCACACAGGTATAGAATACATAGAAAATTTGAACTTCCACAAAATAATAGTACACAAATATATTATTGACTATCATTATGACATAAGTAAACAAAGACACAAACATATATTATTTACTTTAATGGGATATAAATGTATGGTACAATATGGAATTATAATAGAAATTTCACCTCTGAAGATTTGTCATGAGTTTCAAGGAATGTTCTTGTGAGCTTAGAACCACTTTGACTATACACATTTCCAAATTTAATTAGGTTAAACAATGTTTAAGCAATTAGTTAAACTGAATTATTTCAATTTTTGTTAAGTTACATCATCCGCACTGCTCCTCTTGGATTCATTTTCAGAGTGAGACATATAATCCAATAGTTCACTATCCTCAGTATACTGATGGTTAAACAAGTACACACATCAACATAACAAATAAGTGCACATAGGCTAAAACAGATAGATCAAGTACTAGCTCTGTTAATAAATATATACTCAATCAGATTACCAATTAAGCTTCCAAAAGTGATCAAGCTAATGCTGCTGCACTTGAAATGGTTGAAAAACCATCAGTTGTTAAACCTACTGCTGCACTTGAAGTTAAAACAACAACAGGTTTGAAACCTAGTATTGTGCATATTCAGGGGCAAGGTGTTGAAGGTGTGAAAGATTTGGATAGTGCAACTGATGCAGGTGTTAAGGCAAAGGAAATAGCTGGGCAGTCACAACATATTACAGATGATCAAGCACAAGATAGAGTACAAGTAGGAAAGTTCCAGCACAATCTGCTGCACAATATACTAAACCTAATGACAACCCTATAGTTATACAACAACTAAAAATTATCAACTTCGATTTTAGGAGGACCGATTCGACAGTTATACTTGGCACTCAGTGAAACTGATAGTACGAAATTGATATTGAGAATAAACTATTAGAGAAGATGATTTAATCGTGATAGGATAGATAGCAGTTGCTCATTCAAAACATATATTGCTCAATAGATGCCTTTTCTAGAAAAATTATTACTCAATTCAAATAGAAAAGGGTAAAATTTTGAACCTTACCATGATGAGAAGAATCTCAAAGATTAGTAGTTGTTATCAATGGAGGTGACGAGCAACTTCAATTCGTTCGCTAATTCGCTTTATTAATTCCGTTCAACCAAGGTTTACTAATTGTTAGAGAAGTTTGGGANCATGGGGTGGGAGATTTGGCAGAATCTAGGCTGGGAAAAAAGTGGGAAAAGTTAGTGCCACTTTTTTCACTTTTTCATTACTTAATAATTATTTAACGACCAGTTCTGTTATATTATAATGGCCGAATATCATCCCCTCGTTAATATTGAGCAAAAAATTAGTTTTAACGACCGAAAAATTTTTTGTTGATATAAATATACTTATAACGACCGGTTTTATGTCCCTTCGTTAAGAAATGGTCGTTAAAAATCAAATTTCTTGTAGTGCCTCTTGTAATTTGAAGAGACATCGGAGGAATGAACCTAGATAGCAAAAAGTACAGATATGTATTATCTGTAATTAATGAGCATCAATGATGGAAAACGTTATAGAATTTTTACGAAATAGTTACGATTGCCAATTATAACGTTACATTAAAGCCATTAATTGCTCATAATGACTCTGTTGAGAGAGAAAATAAACATATTACTTAGAAATAGCTATAAAAGGAGAGAAATAAATATTTTGTAGGGACACAAAATATTATTGGAATACACTGATTTACTTTGCTTTCTTTTACTTACTCAGCTATTGTTTAAGTCAATTCTTCTTATTTGTTCCTTATTTGATTATCAGTAAGTCGAGTTCTTCTAAAATTAAGCTTTGACCGAAATTTTTATTTTTTGGTTAAACAAATTGGTTCCGTTACCGGGAATCTGATAATCGTTTACTTTCCAAATCAACTTTCTTGTCAAAACAATCATGTCAACTGTCAACGACAACAACCAACAAGATTTACAACACCAAAAAAATCAACAACTACAGGAGAATCAACAAGGTGATGGAACTCCAGTTCTATCGCCATGAAACTCTCCTCGACAATCCCGAGAGGGGACTCCTGACGGATCTGAATCAAATATGAATGATCAGTTCAAGAATAACCAAGCTATTGATGAAGCTTTGAAGAAATTAATCGCCCAACAGGTTAGTAACACTCTTCAAGCTTTTGCTAACCGCCAACACCAACTCCAAACAACAACACCGTGGAAAATCCTCGCTCAGGACTCGATAACTCAGGCAGTGGAGGAACTCCTAGTGAATCTCGTGATGGAGGCTTAGGTAACCCAGTCAATTCTGATTTAAAGAATTTAGTACTAACCTTGCAGAAACAGCTCAAGGAGCAGAGTGATCGCATAGAACAAATACTAGGAGTGCCACCTGTAATCAAGGGAATAGATATAGATAAATACTCTCAACAACTTTGGAAGCCAAGTGTCGCTCCTTTACCAATTCCAAAGAAATTTAAGATGCCCAATATTTCAAAATATGATGGAACAACTGATCCACGGGATCACGTAACCACATTTACAACTGGCGTTAAAGGCAACAATTTGACCAAGCAAGAAATTGAATCAGTACTAGTCAAAATGTTCGGAGAAACGCTCACGAAGGGAGAATTAACATGGTATTCTCTTTTATCCGAAAATTTTATAGATTCTTTTGCTGAGCTTGCAGATTCATTTATCAAAGCACACTTGGGAGCTCAAAAAGTTGAAAAAAGAATGGAGGATATTTTCAAAATAAAACAAGGAGATACAGAGCTGCTAAGGGAATTCGTAGACAGGTTGCAGCATGAGAGGATGATGTTGCCATGTGTACCTGATAACTTGGAGGCTATGGCCTTTGCTAGTAATTTAAATGAAAAAAGCTCAGAAGTCATGAGGAGACTTAAGGAAAGTTTACGAGAATTTCCAACAACTTCTTGGAATGATGTTTATAATAGATATATCACAAAATTGCGGATAGAAGAAGTACCATCATTCAGTCTCGAAAAGATGAAAGGGTGAGCTCCAGACGAGCTGAAACCGAAAAAAGGTCCAGCAAAAACAGATACGAGCCTTACATGGGACCAGCAGGAAGAGACTCAAGTTCAAAACAGGAAAATCCAAGGTACGATCATAGATCAAGAGACAGAGAATCAATTTCATCATCAAGGTTCAAAAAAGAACGAAATACACGAGAGACGTGAGATGATGACAGAAGCTCAAAGGCAAAGATCGGCGGTTACAGTTTTAATGTTAGCACATCCGAGTTAGTGGCTATTTTAAGGAGCATGGGAGACAAGGTACGGTAGCCAAAGGAAATGATATCAAACCCAAACAGGCGAAATCCTTATTTTTGGTGCGATTTTCACAACGATCACGATCACAAAATGGCAGATTGTAGATTGAAGCAAGGTGAAGTATAACATTTATTGAAACAAGGATATTTAACTGAATTATTTAGTGAAAAGGGAAATCAGGCATATATGAAGAATAGGCAGAGCCCCCAAAACCTCCTTCACCAAAAAGGACGGTTAATGTTATAAGTGGAGGACAAGATATCAGTGCCATAACATATACGTTAGCAAGGAAAGTGTCAAAAACAACAGTTACACACAGGAAGCGAGTTTGATAAGTGTGACGACCCGGCCAGTCGTCTCATGAGTTACCGCTATGTTTTCCCCTATTTTAGCTTCTTTACACTTTGTTATATGTGCTTTATATGATCATGTTGATTAGTTCGAGTTCGAAGAGGATTTGGTAAGAAATGAGAGACTTAGTCTCTTTTAAGAAGGCTTAAGTTGGAAAAGTCAACCGGATGTTGACTTATGTATTAGAAGGCTCATAAGTGAGTTCCGATGATTCGGTTAGCCTCGGGAGGTTATTTATGACTTAGGAGCATGATCAGAATGGGTTTTGAAGTTGTATAGAAGATTTAGGCTTAAATTGGCAAAGTTGATATTTTGGCGGTTCTGGTTGATAGGCGAGATTTTGATATAGGGGTCAGAATGGAATTCCGAGAGTGATAGTAGCTTCGTTGTGTCATTTGGGATGTTTGTACAAAATTTTAGGTCATTCGGACGAGATTTGATAGACTTTTTGATCGAAAGCATAATTTAAGAGTTCTTGGAGTTCTTAGGCTTGAATCCTATGTTAAATTGGTGATTGATACTGTTGTGAGCGTTCTGAAGTTTTGAACAAGTTTGAGCGATGTCATGAGATATGTTGGTATAATTGGTTTGAAATTCCGGGAGTTTCAGGTAGGTTCCGGGATGTTTTAGACCGAAAATCATAGCTGTAGTAGGTCCATAAGGGTTGCAGGCCTCGGAACTCACCCGCGCGGTCCGCACAAAAAAGAGTGCAGTCGCGGTATGTGCTGTGTGGACCGAACAAAATAAAGTGTGGCCGCGGTGGTTTGTGCGGGCAGCGGTGGTTATGTGCGGACCGCGGTGCTTTTGTGCGGACCGCGGTGCTTTTGTGCGGACCGGGGTGGTTCTGTGCGGACCGCAGAGGCTGAAATCTGAGGGGTACTCTATAAATACGAGGTTTTGGGTTTTATTTAATATTTTGACCTAGAGAGCTCGGATTTTGGCGATTTTTCGAAGGTTTTTCAAGAAATTCATCGGGGTAAGTGATTCTAACTCAGATTTGGCTAGAGTACATGAATCTATCATTGAATTCATCATTTAATTCATGATTTGGGATGGAATTTGGGAAGAAAATTGTGAAACCTTTAAAAAATATAAAATGATGATTCGAAGGACCAAATAATATCGGAATTGGATAATTTTGGTATGGTTAGACTCATGAAGGTATGAGGATTCTGAAAATGTAAATTTTTCCCGATTCCGAGACGTGAGCCCGGAGCTCGGGTTTTGCTAATTTCGGATTTTTTGATACTTTTTGAATGTTTTCGCTTGGGCTTTGTTCCCTTAGCATATTGTGACGTATTCGTTCTGATTTGGATAGATTTGATGCGCGTGGAGGCCAATTCGAGGGGCAAAGGCGTCGCGAGCTAGAGAATTAGCCGGTTCGAGGTGAGTAATGAATGTAAATAATGTCCTGAGAGTTTGAAACTCTGGATTTGCACATCGTAGTGCTATATTGAGGTGAGACACATGCTTGATGATGAGAGTGGGGTCGTTTACTACTGGGAATTGTGACTTGGTCCGTCCCGAGTGATGCTTTTACCGTGTATTTTGCTTGAAACTTATTTGTTCTCATCAATGTTTGAACTGACTGCCATATTTGGGCTTTGTGCCAATTATTTGAACCCTCTGGGGAGTTTTATCACTATTTCCTCACTGTTTTGACTTACTACTTGAACTCAGTCGTACCATTTTCCTCTATTTTACAACTCAGCCATTTTTTACTCGGTGTTGAAACTAAAATGATATATTAAATGATGTTTTGGGCTGAGAACTACTGTTTTACTAATGCTTGAGGGGCTTATATGATTTCTGGACTGAGTACGACCAAGGGCCAGATGTGAGGATACTATGGGATCGGGCTGCGTGCCACAACAGTGTTATACTGATATTGATATGAGGCCGAGGTCCTAGATTTGATGCCACGAGATGACTTGATATTGCGCTTGGGCCATAAGGGGCCCCTCCCGGAGTCTGCACACGCCTAGTGAGCGACGTCGACGATAAATATATGGATCGGGCTGCACGCCGCAGCAGGTACTATAGTGTACCGTTCTATGTGTTGATTTTCTTTATATGTCTGTCACTTAACTGCTTATTTGTTGTAGCATTTCCATATTTAATTTCTATTGGTTTATTGCTTTCATATTACTTGTTTAAAATGCCGCATTATAGATTACTCTGTGTTTCTCCGTGATTTCTTATTCTCAGTCATTATTTGTGCTTATTACTCACTGGGTCGTAGTACTCACATTACTCCCTGCACCTTGCGTGCAGATCCAGGTACATTTGAGGCTGAGTGAGGATTTTCAGTTGAGCAGTGCATATCCTGGAGCATCGAGGTAGCTGCATGGCGTCCGCAGCCCTGATCTCTTCTTTCTATCCTTTTGTTTTATCCGCATTCCCTAGATTGATATGTATTAGGGTGATAAACTGGTATTAGAGGCTCAGACTTGTGACACCGGATCTATATGGGCTATGTAGTAGTAGTAGTAGTATCATTTGAAATTCCGCCTATTTAACTCTAGTTTCAGACTTTTAAT